ATCCAAAATTGCTAACCAAAATGAATTGAAATTTTTAAGGTTGGCGACTATAATCAGTTGGAAGTGGTGATGGTAATACAGTCAGAAGAAAAAGTGGTATAAGTGAAGTATCACTACAAATGTGCTGCTCTATCTAACACAGATTTTAAGAAGTTTAGTTAAGTGATTTTAACTAAACTCCGAATTCAAAATGTTGAATTATATTCGATTGAGATACTAATCTGTATCAACCCAAAACTGGTAAACAAATTGCAAAGTTTCGGCTTAATCATGCTACTCAGCTGCAATTACATTTTATTACAATTAATATCGTATAATCCCTAAATTGATAAACAGACTAATGCCTAAGCCGCAAGCGACCTCGGCTATATTTGATACGGAAGATGTAGGATTTTAAGCCGAGGAATAATAATCTGTTTATAAGTTTTGAGTTGATAAGATTTTAATTGTAAATCCTCGACTGCAAGCGACCTCGGCTTATCCAGCTGCGATCACATTTCCATCACCAATACTTAGCCAAGGCACTGCAAGTAACTTCGTATCAACCCAAAACTGGGAAACAGACTAATTCCTCAGCCGCAAGCGAGGTTGTTTATGGCCGAGGCTTTATAATTAAAATCGTATCAACCCAAAACTGGTAAATAGAGTGTAACACCTCCTCCGTCTCAAATATTTTCGGTTGGTACGATTTTAGTTGTAAAACCTCGGCTAAGTATTGGTAAAGAAAATGTGATTTCAGATGAATGTTAGTTCAACAACATCTTACATCCTTTCTCTCAAAGTTAGCTGAGCTCGCTTTCGGTCGAGGCATTACCTATTCCGTACAATATTCTGGACAAGATACCACACGTTGCATTCTGTTTACCAGTGTTAGGTTGATACGATATTAATTTTAAATATTATTGTAATATCAAGTAAAGTCATAGATTCTCCATTCTAAGATTGCGGTTGAGACGTTGCACTGTGTCATATACAACATTTTTGTGTTAACCAATTTGAATTGAATTACAAGATGTTAATTGCTCCAAACTGTATAGAATAACTCTTAATGTCTTCCAAACATTTTATTAGGTTCAAATTCTTCACAGTGCTTCAGAATGACACCAAATCTTTCTCAATATTTTAACACTTAACTACACATTATTCCAAATTGGTTAGCATATCTCTCAAAGTTTTTGAATGGTTTTACGAATTAATACATAAATATATTTAAATCTAAATGGATATTATGAATACACATTACCTCATTGAAGATACATATGTCTTGTATGGGGTCGTTTGGAGTTTCTTCGTGGCTATATTATTTATTCTTAATAAAACAGAGGCAATGACGTCCTCTTGATTCACGGCTCCATTAAAGTTGACGTTTGTGTTTACAACTTGGGATTATATTTGATAGTAATTAATGCAGATGTGGAGTTTGCTGAAAAAAAAAATTACATGCATATTAAAGTTTTCGTTAAAATGATAGTTAAAAATATTCTAAATAATAATTGCAGATACGACAATTTCAAAAATATATAATAATAGTTTAAAATACTATTCCGGTCCTGTTTTTGGGGGGGTTCCACGGCGGGCGGATGGTTATAGGGGAGACGCGGAGAGAGGTCCAGCGACATTCCACCGGTCCGTGGGAAATCTGCGGTCGGACGGTGAGAGAGAGAGAAATCGAAAGAGATGACGAAGAAGAAGAAGTAAAGGAGACGGTGGAGAAGACGAAGAAGAAGCGCGATTGCCTTGTAACACGGCCGACGCCACGACTACCATTCGCACTCCCGTGTGTATATGCGCGCCGAAAAACCGTAAATTTCTCACATTCAGAAAAATCATAACAAAAATTAAAAATTAACACAAAAAGGACTCGTATCGGATATAAATCACTTAAAAAGATGAAAAGGCGAAAGTCCCAGAAATAAAAAGAAAATAAAAGGGGAGTAATAAATAAAAAGAAAGAATAAAGAATGAAGAACGAAGCCCATAAACCTCTCTGTATATTAATAAAGTCGTTTTTTGTCTTATTGAATTAAGTGGGCGTTCGATCCGGACTCGGTTGATGTTGGAGCCCTATGCAAATACTTGAACGCGTCCCCCATCGATCTGTATACAAGAGCCCAGATACGCGATCAAATAAATAATTTACATTCATCATCATCACCATTTACATACACATCACCACAAAAATTCATTCATATTAAAAACACCAATAAATCAACTTCTAAACGATTATGATTCAAATATCTATTCTATAAACGAATTTGTTACCATTTCATAACATTCACAACACGATTAACTCCCATTTAATTGGTTATGCGCATTATAATCGTGGAGAAATTTATTCCAAAACTTTTACTGCATCTATTTTAAATTTCAAATTAGCTAAAAAATTCTTTTGTAACAAACTAGAACGAATTTATTTATTTATTTGATTTTTAAAATTATTTTACTGTGACTGTGAGTTTGAATAATAAATAAAACTAGAGTTAACACCAGCACTAGAACTAACACTAGACCTAGAAACATTTGGGTTTAGCTGTACTTCTCTTACGACGGCTAAACCCGAATAATTCTAGTTCTAGGTCAAATCCTAGTCCTACTTTTAGTTTAATAAAAATATACAACAATCTAGCGCTGAATAATAAGTAAAACTAGAACTAACACTAAGTCTGAAGACGCACGGCTAAACCCGAAACTTTCTGGTTCTAGTTTTAGTTCAATGAAAATATACAACAATCTAACAAAACTAAAACTCAAGACTCTAGCTACGTTTTCAGACACATAGCTTTTATTTATTTATTTTGTATACACAACATTTCACAAAAATTAATATTTATTAGAATTATTATCATTGAATGTTGGTATTGATTTAAATATTGTCATTTGAAACAGTTAGCGAACAAAAGATGGTGCCAGTGCGAAATTAAATAGAATACTAATTAAATATTATAAATATCATGATACCTGAAAAGTTTTGAGTAGGTCCCTCTATGAAACAATATTAAAAGTTATTCAAAATAAAGAGCATGCTGTAATACTATTCTGAAAATCTGTTGTGTGACGAATTAATTGTATAAATAATGATTTATAATCGAGGAAATGAAAATAAAAACCTCTTTTAATCTATAATCTTTATTTATAAATAAACGAAACGCGTATGGACATATTTATATCATCAGAAAATCAGAAAATAACGTACAAGTATCATTTATTTATTTCTATTTCTTTTTTGAAAATAGTTCCGAATCATCCGGTTCTCTCCCAAATACAAATTTTTTTCGAGATATTTCGATTTTACATAAATCTTTTATTAAATTTGTTTTTATTTAATTTTATTTTTCACGTTTTAACCACTAATGCACTTACATTATCAAAACTACGACCTCTCTAGAGCTCAACTAAAATAAAAAGGACACTTTACAACGACGTTAACGAAACAATAAAAAAGAAATTATTGTGTAAATAAAAATGAAATAAACAACAGACCATCTTTCTCAATTTGATAGTTATATATTTTTTGTTTCGTTAAATTTTGTGTGATCTTTTTAAAATTTTTATTTCGGTAGTAAAGTTGTAACTCTATCTACAATCTACAGTTTTTTTTTAATAGAAATAATCTATGTGCAAATTATAATATAAAGCACATTCTTGAGTTAATATACACTTTTTTTTGTTGTAATTATTAATAATATAATACGATAAATATTTTATATGTACAACCAAAAAATTATAATATGTAACCTTTTTTCTTTTAATTTCGATTTATAATAAGTGTTTTTATTTAAAGAAGTTTTATTATAAAAAAAATCTTTGAGCAAGCCGCTCCTCGAGCCAAAAAAATTTTTTTTGAATCAGTCTTTTCCAAAGCAGATATTTTTTAAATATAACAAAATAAACATAATAACAATTTTCAAATATCACATTTTTTAAAACGCCAAAACTTTAACACCAAAAATTATTTTAACTTTTTTTATATCGACTCGAAGATGACGTGCTTTTAAAGTTTAAACTTTAATTTACATTTTTTTTGTATATGTATATATAACACCCGTTACTTTTTATTTTATTAATAATTCATTTTTTCCGCAATAATTTTTTCCTTTTTTTTGACAACATAAAACAATTTGAATCGAATGAAATTCGGAAATTGGACCTCATTTTTCTCTGTGTATTTTTGTGTGTGTGGGAGATTTTTTCATTTTTTATAACGTTATTTTATTAAGTCAATAAGTAAGTTACAGGATTGTCTATACGTCTAAAGATGTGTCTAAGAGGTCAGTCTAAAAAGGATACCACAAACAATTTATATTCATTTTATTTTAACTGTGTCCTTTCTTTTAATTGCACCTTAATAAATCTAAATCGTTGATGTCTCAAAAAACTTTTATTAAAGTTATCGAAAGAGATTTTTTTTAATTGCACATTAACAATCGATTTAGATTTTGTACGTTGTTATTGTTAAAACCTTTAGGTTTGGGTTAGGATACATTGGGTTGCTAAAGAAAGATGAGGTGCGCCATCTCTTATCATCTATTATCATTTAATTCTTACCAACACGCTAATTTGGAAATTCTCAATCTGATGATACTTTAAACGCTGTCTATTATGATACTATGATAAACAATAAAGGTTGGGTTGAGTCTGATTAGGTTCTAAATTAGATAATTAAAAGAAAAAATAACCAAACATTATTAGCTTCAAAGAATCAAAATAAATTTAATTTGAACTAATTTAAAGTTTTAACAATAACATAAATTTGTAACATTACTTATTGATTTTATCCTCCTAAAAATAAAATTTGTCTTGTTGAACGCAATTAAATAAAAACTGATTTAAAACAAATTTTTTCCCAATAAAAAAAACTGGACATCGTAATCTTAAGGTAAAAAATAGCGGGACATTCCTGAGATTAAAATATACAAACTATTGTTTTTTTTTATCATTTAATTTTTTTCGCCATTAATTTTAATTTTCTTACGTTAACTTTCTTCTTTTCTTTGTGTCACTTAACTTAATACAGTTTTTTTTTTAACTTTTGCCTACGTTTCCCGGAAAAATTTAAAGCTAATTAATTTATTGTACTTGCTATATTCAAAAACGATTTGGTGTGGGTGGTGATTTTCCGCAACGAAAACGATTTCCAATTCAAAAAGAAAAAATAAAAATAAGCTTTGATCTACAAATCTCATTATTAAATAGAAGTTACTAGTTTTATTTGTAATATTAAAAATTTTAGAATGTTTTTAATAATTGAATTGAAGATCACATTCGTACGTAATCAATCATTTTGTTAAAAATTCTTTTTTTAATGTGTATTAGTAGGAGTTTGGTGACTGTGTATCGGGTTACGACAAAAAAAAGAAATATCGCGGTGCATTAAAAACAAGCTCTTTTTTTAGGAAACAATTTTCCCCTTATCTGGCACATTTAGATATTTAAAAATAATAATAAGGAAGGAAAGAACCTTACCATACTTACTCATCTTGTCGTGTGTGTGCGTTGTCATGTAATATTCTTTTTTTTATGAATTAAAACAATTATTAAACAAACCGCTTTTTTCTTTTCTTCGTTTCGTTTTACCGATCGTTTTCTTTTACACCTTACCCCTTTTGCTGCGTTCCTTTAAAACGCGACGCGGTTTTTTAGCCGTGTGCGCAATCGGCGTAGACATTTCAGTATCCGCTTTTCGTTTATTTCGTAAATTCGCGACGGACCCAACTTCCGTTATTTCTGGTACGGTCGCACAATCAGTTTTAATTTCGTCATTATCGCTTTTTAATCCACCACTGGAATTCTCTGGAATCGGCATGAACTCTGAGTTTGGATCCAAACATAATCCTTCGGGATTAACGCCTTGATTCATCAACGCTTGCAATTCTTCAATCGGTGGTGGAATACTATTACCACAACCCGCACAAAACGGCGGCGTTGCAGGCGATTTTGACCTCCAATATTGTAACTCAGTTTTACACTTATTTAATTCTTGAAGTAATGTACTAAATTTACGTGAGATCTCTTCATTTTTTTTATCGTATTCATCAAGTCTTGTAGTGTACTCAACCGTTTGTTTTTGTTGTTCAGCCAGTTGTTTTTGTTGCTCCGAAATTTGTTTTTGCTGCTCAGACGTTTTACGTTTACATACTCTCAAATCGTTTCGTAACAACGACAGCTGGCTATTATAACGTTTCATACCCTGTTTTATTTTTCGGATACGTTTACGAAGCACCATGTTTGATTGGGGTAATGGTTCTGTGTCTGTATCGTCCAAACTATCCGCAACAGATCTATCAGGATCTTTTGTTTCTTCCGGACCAAGCGGGGATGAGTCCAGAGCCAGGTACTTATTATTAGTAGGTGCTAAAAATTAAAATACAACCCGGTTATAACGAACTTCCGGTTATAACGAACGAACAATAGTCCCGAAAATGGCTCCGAAATAAATTTGCCTATAAGGAATGCGGTTATAACGAACTAATTATTATTGAAGTGATTCCGGTTATAACGAACGTTTACCTGTTTTCGAGTGAATTCCTGTTTCATTCAGCTATTTTTTAAAAGATGGCACCATGATATTTTTCTTACCTACCGGGGAATCACAAAAAATATTCGATTCTGGATTGAGCGCGACTTTTTTTACGCAGAAACCCACCAAAATGAAAATTTTAAGCTTAAAAGCAACGAAATTCGGTCAAAAGTTACAAGATGACTTCGAATGTACTGAGGGATGTACAGAACGACAGAAAACACGTCATAACGTTTATAGCGGTACAATAGTCGGGGAATCACCAGCAGTAGATCAATATCACCAACAAACTGGGGGTTTAAAGATTAGATTAAAGTTTAAAGGTAATGACATATTTTGAAAAAACGTAAAACAGTCTTCTTGGTTGATAATTGCCCTGCTTACCAGGACATCCTTAATTTAAATTCGATCTACTATCGGCGCTAAAAGTCAAGGCCCCTCACTTTAAAGACCGATATCTTCGCAACCGCTCGATTAAAAAAATTTCAACAAAGTTTGTTGTAATCACTGAACATTTCTACATAACATATGTTAATTTGATAACTTTCGGATCGGCGGTTTTCTTTTTATCGCGAGTTAAATGAAAAAATTACCCAATTTTTTACGGTACCGGCAACTTTGTCTACATTGCGATTTTTTTCGCAAAAACTATCGAACAAAAAAATTTCAATTTTGAACAGGTGGTAGCCTGATGTGTTCTTATTATTATTCTATATAGTTTCGCGGAAATTTCAACGCGGTTTTAACCAAAATACGACAAATAATTGCGTTTGTCAGATACCGTTATCAATTTTTCAAAGTTACGTCTCTCTAATTTTTTAGAGCGATTTAAGCGAATTATAAATTAAAAAGGAATAGAAATATATAATCATCCAATCGGAAAAGATGGTCTTGGTGTGTGTTCCAGAGACAGAACGTCGCGCCTTATTTCTTTATGTAGGTATGATAAAGGCGCGACGTACTGTCTGGAACTCACCATCTTTTCCGATTGGACGGAACTCCCCTCTCCCCGCAGAGCTTATTCCTGTTTCTTTTTAATTTATAATTCGCTTAATTCGCTCTAAAAAAATTAGAGACACATAACTTTGAAAAACTGATATTTTGGTCAAATCCGGGATGAAAAAAAAATAGTTGATCTTTATGCTACCGAATATAAGCTATAAACTTCAGCCAATGAACCAGGGGATAATTCAGTGTCTCAAAAGTCATTACCAACAATATCTTTTTTTCAAAATTGTGCAAGGAATAGACGCTAATTCTTCTATTAAAGTGAGATTGCTTGAAAATTGCTTCGGATTTTATGTCAACAATGAAGCAGAAATGTTTGATGAAGAAGACGACATGTCACTTATACAGTTTATTTCTAAAAGTTGTATTGGTACCGCCAAAATGAATCTTACGCACGACTATAATACATAAACTGTGATGAAAATGTAGCAACCTCGAAATTTTTAACGAAATTGTAGCTACAATCCTGTATAAAGAGATTTGCGAACGAAATGATGAATTGAAACGTTGTCGAATCGTTCTGCATTATAAAAATTGTATGAAATTCGGCGTTATTTACAATCGTTAGCATTACTTTAATATTTTAAATAACTTTACTAATGTAGAATGCTATATTGAAAGGATGTTTGCAACAAATCCGCAAATTCAAACCAACATTACCGAGTTTTTTTAAATAACTTGTTACTTATTTTGTGTTTATTGTTGATATAAATAAATGTTCTTAAAGTTTTCTTTTCATTTCTTCGCAAATTGTTTAATTTCATTCAATTTAATAATGATTATTAACAATTTAATTCATGATTTTTTTAAATTATTGCCTTTAACGAACTTTGGTTATAACGAACCGATTTTTAGGTCCCTTGAGGGTTCGTTATATCCGGAGTACACTGTAATTATATGATACTTAACTACAGGGTGGGCAAATTTGGGTATTATTATAGGTTATCTCAAAATCTGTAAGTTGATACATCATTGGAATCAACTAGTTTGTATTTAAAAAAATACAACTTTGTGTTGTATCTCAAAAATCATCAAGTATGTTTAATATTTTTCAATGGTAGTATATTCTACTTAAAAAGTGTCTTAAGAATGTATCAACCCCATTTCTCTAATTTCAAAAATAAACGAAATATGAGAATTTTTTGAAATCACCAAAATTTGACTTTTTGGCTATAACTCAAAAACAAAAAAAGATGGAGGTTTGGTGTTAGCAGGATTGGATTAGTCTTGAAAAAAGAGACTAGGACATGGCGCTTCCTTTTTTGTATTTCTTATAGTTTCTGAAATAGCCTATATAGGCTATACAAATTTGCCCACCCCCTGTATAGTAAAATCATATTAACACATTAACATTTTGTCTGTTATATCCAAAGTACTTTCTAACAAGATACTTACAGGAATATGTTCCAGAGAGATCAAGAAAATCAGTTCCAAAATAAGCAATTTCAGGTAATTCCGGTTCAATTTTGTCCTTAAAATATTCCATTGCCATGGTGGAGAGGTCAAAAAGTTCGTCGGTGACCTTATAAGGTCGCGCAAGTTTTGTATTTGACTTAACATAATGTAAAATGTTGTAAACTTCGTCGAGAACGTCGCCCGGAAAGAAACAACAATGCTTACGTTCAATGTGCTTCCCAAAAGACATTTGAAGTAGAGTTAATCGCATATAAAGCGTTTCTATGATATCGCTTTCACAAGCTAAGTGATGATTACGTCTTGCGGATTCGCGACGAGGCATTTTTCGTTTTATTGACTGGTAACGATGAAACATTTGCGTTTGCAGCTTTTGGAAGGTTGAGTTTAATAGTTGACCACATACTCTATCCATCGTTTTTGAGACCTAAATAAAAAAATTGTAAATAAAAAAATAAAATTTCATTATTTTTTTAATTTACTTACCAAACGTAATTGACAAACATTTTTGAATTTTAAGTATCCAAGAATTTTCTCAATAAGTTCAGGCGGAAGATTAAGAATATTAATGCCCTTTCGCGATGTAGCACTTCCAACTGTTGTATCTGACGAAGTGGATGGTATGGATTGCACGGAAGAATGTGCAACCGCAACGCTATTTCTAGTAACACGTGTAACCGGGGGTTCCGTAGGATTATTATGGCAAAGCATAATGTGCTCGATGCCGTTTGACATCGAACTAAATCGAGTTGAAACCATCCTGGACCAGTGTTATTCCTATTAACAATTTCGAGTTAATTTAATGTTGAAATTATACAATAATTTACAAAAATAATTATTTGGAATTGTTTGGAAACGTTAGGGATCATCGGCCGTGATACTTGAACGTTATGAAATTAAGATAACAAAGATAATGTCCCACAAGAACGAGTTGCTTTTGAGCTCTTTGCAGAGTTAAAATGGTCGAACGTACCTCGTTTATTCGAACAGCTTTTCGGCAAAAATGAGCTAGTGGAGCATTTTCTTGGGATGAGACTATTACATCCAGTTGAAGCGATGTTATGAGTACGATATTTCGTTGAAATAAACACTTTTCGAGCGGTATTTAGAGCTTAAAAAAAATGTCGAAAAAGTACGTTGTATCGACTGTTCCTTCTACCACAAACGTCTGGTGAGCGCCAGTGAACATTCTAAAATTTGGACATCTATCCTAATGGCCGTTTTACCTAATACTCCTTTACATACTTTTATCAACATTTCTATTTCAATATTTATTTTCTATTTAATCAATTTATTTTTAAAACAACGTTTTTCGCTTATTAATATTTCAAATTAGTTTGAAATTTTATGTTTTTACATTTGAATTTATTTTATTTAATATTAGGTTGGTATTGCAAAGAAGTTCTAAAATGTCAAAATTTTAAATTATTATTTTCTTGTATGTACGAAGTAAAAACTATTTAATTTCGTACAAATATTCGATTATGATATTAAATCTAATATTTTTATTATTATGTTATGGTTACGTATTTAGATACGTATAGATTAAAATCCAATTAGTTGTAGGGATGAAGTTTTGGGAAAGGTTATTATAAAATTATATTCACGACTTTCTGTTATATATTTATATAATATCTCATATAATATAGAAAAAGGTACAGTATTCAGTATATTTCAAGAATAATAGGGTCGCTTAAAAATCAATGATTCTTTTTTAATCGATAGGAAAAGACTAGATTCTGCTGACAGAAGACTTAATACCAATAACCGGTGATTTAATACTGCTAAAGGAGGAGTTAATACTTATAGCTTGTAGAAAACTAAATACCGTTTCTGGATGCTAGATACTGCTTGCAGAACACTATACACTATTACCTGCAGAAGACTAAAAACTGTTACTGGTCGCTTGATATTGCTTGCTGAGGACTGTGTACTGTCTGTTATAAATTTATTCGAGCTAATATAAGGTGTAAGTTTGGTTTTAATATCAAGATAAAAGTCAAATTTAAAACTTTAACGAATTTCTTAGAGATGGCGCTACCAAAAGAAGCTTAGAAGTGCTTTTAAAGCACTTCTAAGTTCTTGTTAAGCACCCCTGATGTAACAAACAACTTTCATGAATTAATCTTTGGGGTAGTGACCCATTTCTGCCACCTTTGTGATATTAATGCAAATCTCTTGAACAAAAACATTTATTACCTTAAAGATACAATTTTTAATTAATCAATTACTATTATTACCATTAAAGGACAAGAATTCATTAACTTAAGTTAATAATTTAATCTCTTCTGTTAATAGGATTTTTAATATTAAACTCATAACCATGATATTCAATTTGTTCGTAGATATACTTTCTATTAACACGACATTCAGTTCCGCATTTAAATGAAGAACATGATGGGCACTTGAAATGACAACCAGGACAATTTTCTTGTAAGCAATCGCATAAATCAATGCCGGAAATGTGAACACCCATTGAATCGTAAACTGCTCCTTGAACTCGTTTAGGAAACGTTTTTTTAGTGCGTCTTTTATCTTTTCCCTCATCCTCGTCGAGCACATCGGAATTTAACTTGGCTAAATCTTGCTTGGATTTATCCTTACTTGCCAATGCAGCTTGTCGTTTAGTCATGTTTGCATATTTGTTTTGTTCGAAGAACGGGATTTGATTAGCGGTTGATTTCTTCGCTAAACGTGGTCTTTCATTGGTGGATAAGTATTTTAATCGATTTGAAAGATCATTTTCCGAATTTGAACCGCTCATATTTAAATTAGTTTTGAAAAGAAATGTTTCGATGAGGTTATGTTTTGACTTTTGACAGACAAAAAATTTGATTTTGTTGTTAGGACTAATGGGCAAATGTGCTAATTAAGATTGATAAAATAAATGTTAATTAGTTTGTTATCGTTAAGATTAAAATTTATCTCTCGATTAGATATGATTAAAAATGAAATTTTTTATTTTAAGGTAAATCGGGAAACTTATTAGGAATTTAAATAAGTGTCAAAAGTTGTGGAAATTGACCAATCAGATCGCTTTGGAACGTAACATGGTCGCGATTACGATGAACAATATTGTTCTAAACATTACTTATAAAGAAACTCTTCGTTTCAAAGTAAATTTAAAGTGTTTTACGTTGTGATTTATAGTGTTTAAAAGGGGAATGAAAAAAATCAATGATTGTTCCTTAAAAGATAAAAATTAGTAACCTCTTGTAAAAAGGTTCACTAAAAAAACTTAGTTTATTAAACAACAATATGGATAACGTTTATAGCAACAATTTCGACTTAAATAGCTTTGGTGTGTATTTTTAAAAATCGTTTTATTTTGTTATACATCCTTTTATGTACAGGTGAAATCAGAAATATACATCAAAATGATAAACAATATCAAGATGAAGTCCAAATGTCTAGGGAACATACATTTACAAGATGTAATAGTGTGGGTTCCATAAACACTCCAAGTACATCTAATCATAACACCGATGAGGAGGATGAAATTGAAAGTAAAATGTCTCCTTTAAGTTACAAAGAAAGAAGGCGAGAGGCTCACACTCAAGCCGAACAAAAACGAAGGGATGCAATTAAAAAGGGCTATGATACTCTCCAAGATTTAGTTCCAACCTGTCAACAAACAGATTTATCTGGTTATAAATTAAGTAAAGCGACTGTGCTTCAAAAATCGATTGATTACATTCAATATTTACAACAACAAAAACGTAAACAAGAAGAAGAAAGAAATTCACTTCGTAAAGAAGTGATGGCTTTAAGGATAATGCAACAAAATTATGAGCAAATCGTAAAAGCACAACAATCACAACCAAATCAAGCTGATGTTAGAGTTTCGGATGAAATTAAATTTTCAGTTGTAAGTTTATTTATTTTAAAATAGAATTGTAATAATAATTTTTTTGTTATTAGTTTCAGGCTGTAATGGATCAATTATTCGTAACATTTAATTGTATTCCTTCAGCAAATTTCCAAGAATTATCCGCGGGTGTTTTTAGTTGGGTCGAAGAATACTGCAAACCTCAAACGCTTAAAGATACAGTGCTGAGAGTGATTCGGAGTCATAATCGTCAAGTACCAAGACAACCACCACAATTATAGCGAAATACAAGTTTATATATTAAAGATTAACAGTTATTTTAGATAAATAAGGGTTAAAAAATATATATTTTTTATTGAATAAAAATATTGTACCTTTTTGTAAATTTTTGGAAACAATTTTTTAAGTTTATTGTGATGTTAATTTGTAATCACGTGTAAATAAAATAATTTTATGTAATCAATCATATTTTGTTCAATTTTAATGAACCAAAACAAAGAAATAATTTTTCTACAATTTGTTATAGGGATGAAGTTTTGGGATCATATTCACGACTTTCTGTTATACAGGGATGTACAAAAAGTATGGAATAATGGTTCTACAACCTAAACTTCAACTTATATTAAAAAAAGTTTTAAATAAAAGTTACTTGAAACTACTTTCCGCATATCTTGGCGTAAAAATAAAATAAAAATCTTGACGGCAGTCTGAGTTACGACATGGTGAGTGTGTTTTTTAAATGGAACATCCTGTATTTTTTAAGGTTTTTGGATTTCTTTTGACAAGGTGTTGCAAAATGCTATAAGATTTTAATACTTTAAACTGCATAGTTTTCGAGATATCGAAACTTTTATTTAAAAAGATTTGACGTAGCGACAACCAAATTATGACGTCATTATGGAATAGACAACCTAAGCCTTGACGTCACAGGGATGGGCGGAGCTTATACCGACTCCAAACATCTTCGTTGCTAACAAAAAATCCCCATAAATATGCAATTTTTCAATAGACTGCCTAAGTCTGACGTCACAGAGATGGTCGGAGCTTATACTGACTCAAAACAATTTCGTTGCTAACTGTGTTGCTAACGAAAAATCCCCATATGCAATTTTTTAATAGACTGTCTTAGTCTGACGTCACAGAGATGGGCGAAGCTTATACAGACTCGAAGCAATTTCGTTGCTAACCACAGTTGCTAACGATAAATCGCCAAAAAATGTCATTTGAAATGTCATAACTTAAAGTTTAGGCTGTAGAACCATTATTCCATACTTTTTGGACAGCCTGTATGTTTATAGAGATGTAAATAAATACATTTAAAATGAGCATTGTAAAACATCCACAAGCAGTAATAAATTATCAATATTAGTTGTAATGAGGTCTTAATACATATTAAGACATGCTAACAGTTGGATTTGTGCTGTCTTATGATTTGTTTTTGGCCCCTAAACCAATGAGGCATAAGCGACCATGGGTCTGATTATTGCTATGTAAGCTCAGTGAGCCATTCGTGGTTTAAGCCCCTTCCAAGAAGCCTGCGGCAAATCTGGTTAGCTATAAAAGCTTTTTTCCTCTGCATTTGCCATGGCAAGATCTCGTAACGTCCAGCAAGACAATTTTAAATCGCCACAGGGATGTTAGTACTGCTCAAACAATACTGGCAGTGCTATTTGGGAACAAATAAGAAATTTATTTTAGCTCTGGGCAGTGTTGTTGAAGCTCTTTCGACACCAGTACAACCTGACATAGTAATTCAAGAGGACCTAGATATCCTTGATAATCCTAATTTCTCACATTTTTGATTCCGCCAAATTGAAATGAGAAATAGAAACCCCATCGATCGAGACTTAGTGGTTATGTTATAGGTTGTAATCTTATACAGTGCACAAGGGAGTTCTCGTTTTTATTAAAGTTTTACGTGTCGTTAACTTTCGGTGCTATTTTTGAGGTAAAATGCGTTCCAAGTGTAATTGCTAATACAAAAGTAACATATAAGTGTAATTATGCCTATATGTTGAATTGGACATACTTGAACTGGATATGTTGGCCAAACTGGACGTAACATCGGAATGTCCGACTGAATAAGATTTGCGGTAGTTGCAGATCATTGCCACAAAGTGGATAGATTTCGACAAGACCAAAGTGTTAGCAAGTTACACATTATTTCCAAATGATGACAAGAGAGGTGATAGAAATTCAGCGTCATAGGAATAATATGAATAGAGGACATGGCTGAGAACTTAGCTCATCATATAGTGTTACTCCCAATTTTAGTTTAAAATAAAATGATTGTTTTTATAAAAAAGAACATATAATTTATTTACAAATCGTTTTATCCATATTATTTTTTTTTGATTGCTCTACACGTAATCACATTTCTACAGGTGAAGCACGTTACTTATATTAATTATTACAGTTTCCAATTTTATAATATTTAATTAATAATATATATATATATTTCACTTTATTTTTTTTTTATTTTAAATTATTTTCTTTTTAAACGTACGTTAAAACATTCTTCTAATCGAATTTGTACATTTTCGCTGAAGATTACTTTATATTTTCTTTCTCGCTCACTTTCATTCTAGTTTTTATTTATTTTTTTCGTGTTATTTCTGCTCGTTAAGGCCAATGTGTCTCTGTACATACATGTCTTCATCCGATCATTTTGTATTCAATAATTAATTAATTAAAAAGGCATATAGAGTTATAATAAAATCAACAACAACATATTTTCACACACCTACTTATGTTTCTCTACAATTACGAGTAATAATTGGGGTAATTACTAATCGTAAAGGAAAAATCCCTTAAACTATGACACTTGATCCCTACCTATTACTTTTTTTTAATTTATAACTTGAAATTTATTTTTCTATTTCATTTGATGTGTTAAAAAAGGAATCGAATTAATTGGTGTCTTAGAACTATTCTAGTTTTAGCTGTACAATTGACTACTTCAAACCAGAACATGATTTCCATAGAAATAGTGTTTAATCGACATTTATTTAAAGATAAAGAAATATAAGAAAAAAGGATAACAACAATTAAAAATATGATTATAGAAAAAAGCTTTTTAAGCTACCTTTTCGTATGCAAAAAATATATAAAAAAGAAAATAATAAAATCTATTTTTATTACATATTAATTACGTTTATATATTAAATTATATCATAATTTCCAGGGCTCTCACCAAATCTTTTTTATTTCATTTAAATATACTTATACTTATATATTTACGTGATTAATGCAACATTATAATACAATATTAATTCTTAACAAAGTTTAAAAAAAGAAAACAGGTTTAACTAGCATTTGATTACGTCAAATTCAACAATTTCTATTATAATGTTGACATACAAAAATTGTCCTCACCAACAATTAAATGCAAGAGAAAAAATAAAATACAAAAAACAATACATTTTCAACTATTTACAAAATATTACTGAGCACTGTACTCCGGAGAAACTTGCAGATCCTCTGCTTCTTCCGTTTTAGGTTTATCCATCAAACTTTCTCGTAACTCTTTAACAGCATCTCCTGTATACAAACGTTTTATTCCTCTCGGTAACGCTCGACACGATTGAAGATTTATCGATTGAAGCTTTTGACATTTCGTTAAGACTGCTTTTACAGGTTCTAAACTCACTGATGATCCACATAAATTCAACGATCTAAATAAATTAAGAAATAATAAATCCTTTTTTTAACGTCATTGTAATAATTTACCTCAGAGGGGATTCAGCTCCTCTATCAGCAAGTGCCTGAACAGCAGCATCTAAAGATTTCGTAGCTGTAGACCAAGCCAAATCAACTTCTAACAAACTATGACCCCATTTTTGAACGATTAATTCCATCCCAGAATTATGAGTTCTTGTAATGTAACAAGCTAATATTTAAAAAATAAAAAACAATTCATAATTAAAATAATTTTAATTCAATTTTTACCGCTTAAAAATAAATGCTCCAAATCCCAAGCTGGAACCTTAACCAATCCAGAATCAGTAAGTTTTATACACCCTCTAATATCCAAAAGCCTCAATTTTGTACTATTTTTTAAAATCCTTTCGATTCCATCATCATCCATTGACCTTGCTGTAGTCATTTTGTGATCATCTTCGATACCAGCCAAAGATAATTCTTCAAGCATTGGAAATCCCGGTGATGCGACTTGATCGGATAAACTAGCCGGGGCTAACCAAATTTGACTATTGGTCATTCTTAAAACACGCAATTTTGGACAACCCGATTGTAATTTTTCAACGTGTAATAAAGCAGTGTTATGAGCGAACGTTCTTATATTAGATATGTCTAATAATTGAAGATTTGGACAATTTGCCTGAACAAAAATTAATAAGAATGGAGTTAAATTAATTAAATTAATAACTTACAGCTAACGCAGACATAATTTGTGCGAACCCAGCTATTTTATTATGAGCCAAAACTAAATGTGTTAATCTGCTACTCATTGACTGGGCTAAACTCACTAAAGGTTGAGCGTTAATTGCCGATGCAGACTGAAAATAATCAAAAAAAAATAAAAGAAATTAACTTATTTTTTTTTTAAACTTACATTTACAGATGATAAATCAAGTCTTTCTAAATTCTCACATTCCGTTGTGATATACTTAAGATTATCAGCATTTAAACCTTTCCATCCGCTCAAATTAAGTCCTCTTAACTCTGTACAATTTTGGACAATATATTCCAAAGCGGTTTGTATATTACGCACTTTCCAAATCCCTACAAAAATTATTTTAAAGTAACAAAATCATGATTCTTATTTCTTAAGTAATAGTATATTAACATCTTTCAATTATGGATGTTATGGCACATCAAATAAGCGTAGAAATGGATTTGTATAGATTTTCATAAGAAAAATCTTGTATCTAAACAAGCCTTTATTGAGGGGGCGACCTCAGATGTGATCATTTGTGCACACCATCTTGCGCAAAATCTTCTCAAAACTGGATTTAGCAACACAAAAAGAAGATGGTGTGTTTAAGATAAAGAATGTTGTATCTGCTGTCTAGCATGATCACAAACAAGGTAGGTGTGGACGATCATTGGTAATATTGGACTATGAAGGAGTACATATGCAGCAACTTATTCCCTATATACAGTACTTCACAGAATGTGTTAAGCTAGTTGTGGAAAGACGGAGTTGTTTTCACAAGTTAGAAGATAGCAATGCACACTGAATATGTCGCCATAACAGCTTTAAGTGCTCAAGACTTTTCAAATTTGTTAATTTTTTACAATTTAAGATGATAATTGCATCATACCATATACCCATAGTTACAAAACTACTCTGCAGTTGCACTGTCCTACATAAAATGCAACATAGCTTAACATTCCAGGCATTGAGTAGTTTTGCAAAGGAAAGGTATTGCTTGGAATAAGTTAATGTCCTTATGATAATCCTAAGTTTTCTGCCGTCTTAAGAGACGTATGGCTAAACCTGAATGTTTCTGCTTCTAGGTCTAGTTCTACTTTTCGTTCAATAAAAATATAACACAATTTAACGTTAAATAACAATTAAAACTAGAACTAACACTAGACATAGAAACATTCGGGTTTAGCCCCACATCTCTCAAGACGGTTAAACCCGAATGATTCTAGTTCTTGGTTTTATATTAGTTTTAGAAAGACGGCTAATATCAATAGAACTAAAACAAGACCTAGAACTAGAATCATTCGGGTTTAGCCGCACGTCTTTCAAGACGGCTAAACCCGGATGATTCTAGTTCCAGGTCTTGTGTTACTTCTAGTGCTAGTGTAACACTAGAACTAATACTAGACCTAGAAATATTTGGGTGTAGCCGTGTTGAGAGACGTGGTCCCTATACTTATGCAACATGGTGATATTTTATGCTAACTAGCGCAACCTACCACTGTTAGTAGAACTAACATTAGACCTAGAGCGAGAAACATTCTGGTTTAGCCGTACGTCTCTAAAAACAGCTAAACTAGAATTATTCTAGTTTTTGGTCTTATGTTAGCTGGCGAAATCGCAGGTGGAGATTTCGAAAACAATAATAGGCCCATAACTGGTCGCAAACGGATAACGACAGACCGGGAGGAACGAACAATAGTAAGAGAATTATTAAAAAACTGAAAGAAAACTTCATCAGACTTCGTTGTCAGAAGGTTTTAGAAGATCAATATCTGCTCGGAAAACTCGTAGACGACTTTAAGAAACTGGCAATTGTAGCCTCCAGGTTCATCATGGTGAGTATTAATAGAATAAAAAAGGATAAGTCCACGATGATTATTTATTATTTTTTTCTAATTTCGGTACAACAATGTTTCGCTTTTTCTAAAAGCGTCTTCAGGTACGACTAGAATAATAGGAAGATAATTATTACTAGTTGACGGGTTTTTTTGTTGGTGATATAAAATTAAAATTATAAAAAGTTCTTACCGTCAAAAACTAAGAATGATGAACACGTGAAAAAATGATCATGTGGAAAAATTTCTCTTACAAAAAACTACGACGGACCGATGATTAAAAATATAATTTTGGATTAAAGAAAAAAGTGAAATTTTTGAAAACGGCGTGGGTTTACCATGTCAGGTTAAAAACTCCAACGTCGGGTGATAGGTTAATAAAGTTTTGAAATGCTGAAGGCAGGCGTAAAAGAAACTGTGAAAGCTGAAGGCGTGTTATAAAAAGGGAATTTATCGTTAAAAATCTAAAAGAAAAAGGGTATTAATATTATTGAAAGCGTATTATAACGTTAAGTGTTACCGAAAAACTTGAGTCGTATGCACATATCGACTGGTTACAACGGACTGAGATCAGTTAAAAGAGGAAGTAAGTAATATGACAACTTAAGAAAATAAAAATTGGTATCAGGATGTGACAAACCAAATGCAAGAGTGGTGAGTTTGAAATTATACGAAAGGTGTAAAATATCTATTATAATTGTTAAAATCAGTAATTTCATTCAAAATATGTTCAGGGTTTTTAATGTGGTATGATTTTATATAGTACTCCNACTTGCGCTATACTATCTTACAAATTTAGTTCTTAATACACTTCACAGACTTACATATAGTACAACAACTGACTACCGTTCTTACTTTTTGCGGACCCCCCAACGCTAGCTACGAACCCCCAAATTAATTTTATTTTGCTACGGACCCCCTGAGAACTTACAGGGACCCCAAGGGGTCCGTAGGAACCACTTTGGGAACCACTGCACTAAAACTAACACTAGACCTAGAAATATTTGGGTTTAGCCGTGTTGAGAGACTTGGTCCCTATACTTATGCAACATGGTGATATTTTATGCTAACTAGCGCAACCTACCACTGCTAGTAGAACATTAGACCTAGAGCGAGAAACATTCTGGTTTAGCCGTACGTCTCTAAAAACAGCTAAACTCGAATGATTCTAGTTTTTGGTCTTATGTTAGCTAGGGAAATCGCAGGTGGAGATTTCGAAAACAATAATAGGCCCATAACTGGTCGCAAACGGATAACGACAGACCGGGAGGAACGAACACTAGTAAGAGAATTATTAAAAAACTGATAGAAAACTTCATCAGACTTCGTTGCTGAGTTGTCAGAAGGTTTTAGAAGATCAATATCTGCTCGGAAAACTCGTAGACGACTGCAAGAAACTGGTCTAAAAGACAAAAATAAAAAAGCACGGTACGAATGGGCTCGAAAATACCAAAATTTCACTGAAGAAGACTAGTCAAATATCGTCTGCTCAGAGGAATTAAACCTTAAGGTAAGTTAGTCAATTTGGTGTTCTATCAGCTTTTAACAATTTTATTAAAAAGCATTGGGTGTAACCTTTGTCCGTCGTCATGTAGGCGAGGAATTTAAGCCAGCATGAGTGGTACCGACTATAAAAGATGGAGGAGGCAGCGTCATGATCTGGGGTTGCATGGGAGAAATATTCGTGTGTGCAAGCCGTATCAACGCTATAAAATGGATAAATGTCTTGGAAACAACCTCTTTTACATCACTTTTGGCGACATAAACTTAGATAGCGTCAAGTTTCAACAAGATAACGCAAAGCATGACTTAAAATAATGTAGAGCTCTTGGACTGGCCTGCCAAATCTCCAGACCTAAACCCCATAGAACATTTATGAGGTTGAACTTGTGTCCAAAAAGAATTTTGGCCATGATTAAGGCAAAAGGTGGGCCATTATTATTTTTTTGTTAACAATAAACATTATAAACCTATACAAGTTAATAAGTTTCAATTTATTTTAATATGATATTTCCAAAGTTGCATAATTGCGCAATTAATTAATGAGTTTTGATGTTGCTTGAGGCTGAGGCGCTGTAATAAGAGTTGTTCAATTAAGTTGAAGCTTAATAAACCCAAATGATTCTATGATAATCTAGAAAATTAAGTTTTGACTTTATATGTATTAATCTTCCACCTGGATATATGATATTTATTGATATTTTGCAGGGTTATTTTTTTTTCTTACCTAAATTAAGATCTTGACAATGTATTAGTCGATTATCAATTAACCAATTGAGTTTTTGATCGGTACGATATCGTTCCGAAACCCAATTAAGATCGACTTTTTGCCATAAGGACGTAGATAAAGCGACTTGACGCCATAATTTGCAAACTCTACACAAGCGCACCAATAATGGTAAGCTGCCTTCTTGGAGAGACGCATGGTAAAAGATTTTGTGTAATATCGGCTCGGGGATTTGGTCGCCCCAAACGCTCTGTTCGAGAGGTTCTTCTGCTGGAGTTGCGTTTAAAAAGTCCATTGAGGTTTTCGGTTTTTTCATGGAACTTTCATAATCTGATGTATCGGTATCAGATTGATTTCGCTTTTTCCTTCTTCCGCTTTTCTTTTTATTTCTAGCTAACTATAAATTGAAATTAAAATTAAATTTTTTAATCTTATTACAAGTACGGTGTAAATTTACCACTTGAGCAGTTAGATTCTTCTTAATCCTAATAATAATGGTGTTTTTATCCCCACTGATTTGACTTTCGTAAGTTGAAATAACCCCTTTACGGGGTCTGCCTCTTACAACTCTTTTTCTTTGTTTGTCGGTTGATTTTTTGATTACTCCATTACTTGCGTTTAAGACGGAATTAAAAGTTGATTCATCTGGTACATAACTCGCCGTGGCCGAATCCAGCTCGACCTTACTTGATTGCGAGTCGGGAGATTCATGAACTTTAGCTTCATCAGGTGATATACCATCTTGAGAATCTAAATTGAAAGGTTTTTTTAATCAATTTATATGATGAAAAGTGTTTTACCTGATGTTTGTAATGAATGTGTATCACTTTCGAGCATTGGGACATCAGAGGCACCACTTTCTCCTGAGGGAGTATAAGAATCCTTTCCCGAAGACATTCCATCGTTTTTCGAGCATTCACTATCACTGTAACACTGAGAAACGGGCACTTTGTGACACACATTATTGTTCGGTAACATATCGCAATCGTTGTATTTAACACCTCCATTGCTATCAAAACAGCTAACTGACTCCAGATAAGTTTTATTCTGAATTGGATCTGTTATTGAGCTTAGATGGATTTCCCTGGTGTTGCTATCCGGCTCCAACATTTTTCCTGCCATTTTTCTTATTGTTGAAATGTTACATTTACTTTACATCTTATGTTGGAAGTAACATTTTAAACGTTTAAATCGCTTCTTGGGGTAAAACTTCAAATGCTGAGGTTTGAGATGTTTCTAATAAAAAGAATTAATGTGAAAAACTTAATGTGACAGTTAATGTGTTAAGTAATTTTGATTGTAGCACACAATAAAAGAAAAATCGTTAAAAATAGGCCATGGTTACGATATTATGGTGATTTTAATGTATATTCACGTGAAGATAATCAAAAATTTAAGTAGGTTTCCCGGTAAACCATTATTTAAGATACAAAATCGTTATCGGTTCACGACTGTGGTGCAAATTGTACTTACAGGGAAAACGGACGGTGTAGCTGATTAACTAACACATTTACGTCGATCGCTTAGGGTCCGGATTGCGCGTTTACATCGGATTACTTGTAAAAACCACTCGAACTAGCGAAAATCCGCTATCCCTTGATATTTGGTGTTGTTGACCTTGTTACTAAAGATGCTGGTGTTTTTTATTTTGATATTGTAAGGTGGCGCTCTATTACCATAAACAAAGATAAGAACCAAAGTGCAAGGATTTTTCACTTTAGCGCCATCGCGTATCCAATAGCCGTACTAATATTTATAAGAACCTATAATTCTAAATTATTAATAAATTATCAAGTTTCTATAATGATTTATAGATAGGGCTTTATAAATAATAATTGTTAATTATTGTACTATACTTTTATTCAAACTTACAAGTGCAATTATCTTGGTTATTATTATAGATGGAGTATTATAACTAAGACATTATATGGACACTTTTTTACAGAGAATTTGATGGCGTAGTTACTGATTATAAGCTTATTAAATTCGTTATTTTTTTCTGATTACAAAAATATAGGGTTCGACAAGTCTATTTCTTATTGTTTTAGAATAAAACTAAAAATAAAGTTTTTTTATAAAATTTCTAAACACCGCCATCTAGTGTCGTTGAAGAAATGTAGTCTAACATGTTAAATTCATCATAATTTTCGTAATTCATCTAAAAAAACAGGATTATTAATGTGACACGAAAATTTTTGAATACAAACAAATATTGCTATCATTATATGTTTATTTGAATTCGTAAAAATAACGTAAAAAAATATATGAGCGCCATCTATCAATAATTTATTAAGTCATCTAATAATAATATTAAATACATATTTATTAATAAAAAATGTGAAATAATGCAATTTATTCTAACTTTTGTGTAAAACAAATATAAATTAAATAAATCAATAAATATATTTGTTTCAAATAGCAGAAATATGTTTTTTTAAGTTTTAGTTATAGCCTTGTTTATACAGGTGTCCCCGGATAGGTGAAACAACTCTTATTAAACGTAAATTTTTTTCGATATTGTTATCTTTTGGGGTTTAGCCCTTCTTGGTTAAAGACTAATTTTGAACATATTTTCAAGTTTTAAAAAACAAGTGAACCTTGACAGTGAAAAAAAAACTGTTTTTGTGACCTTTTCTGTTTACAATACGAGAAAGTGTTACTAAGAAGTTTTGTTTAGAATGAAAAACTATGGTCATATGCAAAATTTCGGAATAATCGGCCTGCTTTGATAAAAATCCATATCAAACAACTTTATTTCTAACAGACTGCCATGGAAAAACAAAATTGCCAATCTGTCAAACTGTAATTTAATATAAACTTAAAGTGTTTTTTAAATACAATGGGGATTTATAAACTTGGGGATTTATTCCTCATGACAAATAATGACTAATAAGTGAAAAAAATTGTAGCAAAACTTTTATTAGTTTCCTATATATCCTTGAATTAAGAATAAAATTGAAAAAGCCATAAAATTGAGTATACAGTTAAGCAAATGTGATTAAGTTTAGGTTGGTATTATATTTTTATGGTTTGTTAGTGGCGGAGTCCACTAACTTGCTATTTTTTAACTGAAACTTAACTTCTTCCCATAAATGTTCAATAGGATTTACATAAAGAGACTGTGGAGGTGTTTGTAATTGTTTTGAAGTATTGTATAATAACCATTCCTTCACAAGGTATGATGTATGTTTAGGATCATTATCTTGTTGGAACCAGAATACAGTTGAAAGGTTGAGTTTATGAGAGCTTTGACATAAATTACGTTTTAAAACATCCAAATTACTAAATTTTGTCATATTTCCCTCAGTAAATACCATAGTTCCAACGCCGCTTGCTGCCATTGAGCATTACTGAACCAATGTTTAATTGTTAACACCAAATTCTTGTTTTTGAGCTCACAATTTCGTATACTCCAAACTATTTGCCAAATAAATAATCGGGCAAAAGATGGCATTAGTTAGAAATTATCAAATTTAAAATCACGTGACTCACTCACACCCGCAGTCTGATCACTCAAGCAGCGCATTACCACAAAATAAGCCAGCACGTGCCATGTGGTTCTTTGTTTATGTTCGATCTCTGTTCTGTTTATTTTATCTTTAATTACTAATAATTATCAGTAGAAATATTCGGGCTTAGCTTAAAACGGCTAAATCCGAATGTTTCCAGTCTTGCATCAGCAAAATTTAGGTTTCTGCCAGCAATATCTAATCTTCTGGAAACAGTACGTAATACTCCGCAAGAAGTAACTAGTCTTCCATTAGTAGTATCTAGTCCTCTGTCAGCAATATCAAATATCTAAAGAAGCATCTAATCTTCTGCCAATGTTTCATCTTCTATAAGAAGAATCTAGTATATATAGATCATTCTGCATTATGAGTGCGGGCAATTCTGACACCCAATTTAACTATAATAGATTTATGACTATCAGGATACATAAAAGATAAAGAAAATTTTACTGTACCTGTCAAAGTAGCTGACGTAAATAGATTACTATGAAAAGAATAAGATATCTAGGTAGAAAAATCCAATGTGATCCACAAAATTTTTTTTTTTCAATTTTTTAGCATAGTATCTGACCAAGATTGAGGTTGGGTAACGGTATAGGTGGCGAGAATCTCGCCTTTGTGGCAACGGCTAATCTCCCTTACTTTCGGCTTGCTTTGTAAAACGAGAAGATTGTGGCGGGTAAGGATTTGGGTCGGTGCATATATGAGAACAGAGATTTTCGGCTTTCGGCTAAGCGCAAATATTTGCGGCGGCTTTGCGATTTAATTAAAAAAAATATCACCTTAAATTGAAAAAATTCAAAACGAGTAAAAAACGAAAACTTCATTCAACTGACTTTTTAAAAAATCGTATATATTAAAAGCATTATTTCCTTTTTAAAACGTTACCTGTTGAATTGTTCACTTGAAATCGTTAGAAATTGTGGTGTTCCAAGAAACCGCCTCGGAAAGCGGTGGGAAAAACGGGCCAAGACTTATGAATTTTCCCATCGCGAGGAGCTTTTCGGAGTTGAGTGGCGAATTAAAATACCGTAGGACGGGGCCGCGTCTTCTCCGACTCAGATATGGATATTTAAATTTCAAATGTTATTAAACTCGTAATTTGAGTAATTAGTTTGGCTCGGCGCGGCCCTTTTGTGATAAAATCTCGGGCGTGGATTAATTTCGGTCCGAGAGACGTCGCCGACGGGATCTCCGAGTTCATTTCTGGAAAACTTTCCGTCACAAAAAATCAGTTTTCTCCGGATCGCGAATAAAAATAAGGTTTAAAAAGAATGACTTTTGACAGCTTTAACAAGCAAAAATGACTTATGTAAATAAGTGTCATAAATAATTTCGAGATTATAATGGGCCAAAAATTTTCACTATTAAAATGTACTTATGGAAAGCACGTAATTCCGCAACACTATATAGTTGTATTGATTATGACGGTAGTTAATATATTGTGTTTTGCGTCCAAGTTTGCGGGAGATAAATTATACGTGGAGTCGCATATTGATCGTGATCAAGATGGGTTTAAAACCGTTCGTATTGGAAGTTCTTGCGAAGAAGCGATGACTTTGAATTCAACAATGAACGAAACATCGCAAGGAGAAGAGTTGTCTTATAATGTAATTTCGGCTGTTTACATGTTGTTTACCGCGTTGGGGAAGTTTCCTGCGGGAGTTTGTGCTGATTTATTCGGAGGGAGGCATCTTTTGCTTTTTGGATTTTTGGGGAAAATATTTATGGCGATTATAACCCCAACTTTAGTTATCTTTGGAAGTAAAAGAATGCAGTTTTTTGTTCGGGGAGCTGCAGGTTTTTTTGAAGGATTTGTTACAGCTGTAACTTTTAATATAGTTGCTCATTGGGCGCCGACACGACATCTGACTTTATCCGCCACATTACTTTATAATTCAGATGCAGCGGGGTATTTAATCGCGCATATATTCAACGTTTATTTTGGAATTAAATTGCAAGTATTGATATATATGATTGGGGTGCTTCAAGGGATGATGTATATGTCGTGTATTTACTTCGTCTTTTCTAGACCTAACACACACCCTTCGATATCGGCACAAGAAAAGGATTTATTTGTGGAGTTATTTCCTACGAATGAATTACCTGGGAGTATTCCATGGAAGGCTATATTAACTGATTTCGATATTTGGGCCCTTTTCGCTTGCAACGTTGGTTATAATTTCCAACATCTTGTGATTCATCGTCGTTTGCCTGATTATTTCTATTATATACTTCACGATGACGATGAAAATATAGAGTTTCAATTTAATGTAGCTCTAAGGCTGACTTTGTTTATCGCCGGTGTTGTTCTTGCGGTAATCGCAGATTACATAATAAAAAAAGGTTACATTCCAGTAGTGTATTTACGATCTACATATATCGGGATGTCTTTAATTTTGGGTAACTTATTCGCGGTGATGATTATATTTGTGGGTTGCAATATTACAACGGTTATAATTCTTTTACGTCTCAACAACATTTTTGGAACAGCTATAGATGCAAGTTTAGGCGGAAATATGTTAGATAACAGTAGGCATTATGCTGGAACCGTTTTTAGTATTACTTGTGGTGGTGGGCACCTTATTCGAAGTTTAATGTGGATAGTGTTTGGTTATGTATTAGAACACCAATCAATATCGCAATGGACTATAACTCTATGGTTAAATTTGGCTATTTGCAGCTTTTGCACGCTCGTTCACTTTGATGGCTCTCGAGGGGAAAGAGCATCTTGGGATGTAATCAAACCAAAACAAGATAAAAACCCTGTCAAAACTGGGAATGTACTTATATAAATAAAACATGTTAATTCAATGGATTAATTAGTAATTAGTTTGTAGTGTCTATTACGGGTAATGGAAACGCCATGAAGAGGTATTTATTGATTAATAATTCAAGTCGTAAAGCCAAGCACTGTAATTACGACACATAAAATCTTGGCTGGTTGAGACGCGACCGGATTAGATTCATGCACCAATTAAAGCGACTGGAACGCCGTAAAAGTTTGTTATTGCAATTTCGCTCGGTTGGTTCGTTTTTTGGACTTTGCGATATTTCAGTTAATTTCAGCTTGAATTATCGCCCATCTCTCCCGGTTTCTTACGATTTATAGCGCGATCTTCTGTTACATCTCCCCTCGTTTTGAATATAATTCGAACTTGGCGTTCTTTTTTTGGGTCGATGGGATACCTACTTCGGAAGGGCTGGATAATAGGTTCGCATAATGGTGACATTAGCAGTTGGATTCCGGCCTTGGAGAGTCTCGTTTCACCACCGGTTTTCAGTATGGGATTTTCACTCCCCACCACTCTCTCTCGGAATTCACATATCAAATTACTTCGAAAAGATGTGGACCGTTGAAAATGTTAACTGTACATCGGAATAATATTTTGCGGCGACGACGGGGTATTTATCTAAAAGTGAATTACGCTCGCCTGGCGAGAGTTTAATATCCGTTTTTCACTTTTCCAGCCGCACTGCCCTCGCTCAAATATTTAGATTCCATTATACGTGGCTCACGGTGTATTTTCCTCCTAAGGCTTCATATTCCTCTCTGGTCCTTTACTTTCTCCCTCTCTGCATTTCGATGCGAGGAATACGTCGCATTTTTGCATTGGTATTCATTGTTGAGAAATACCTTCATATGGATACTTTCATAATATTTTACTTTAAAATCATACCTCAACCATGTAAAAGATGAAAAGATGGAAATATATCGGTTTATGTTTCAATAGGATATGGAATAATTACTGACATCATTAATGAATATTGTCTGAACATGCATGTGATGAATAGAGGAGGGTTTCTCATTGTTTAATTGTTTAATAATTCCCGGAGGCTGGCGAGATGTGCAATAACTTTAACATTCACAAAAATTAAATTTAAAAAATCGTATCTCAAAAAGTATATGACCTACCAAAATGAAATAACAAGCATTCATCATTAATTGTGATGATACGATATAAATGAATTATTACCATGATTTAGGGAAATGAGCATTATTTTAAAGAATATTTTATTATTTCTTAAACTGTTGAATTGTTTCACATCGAATAGGATATGGAATAATACTGCCATGATTAATGAATATTGTCTGAACATGAAAGTGATGAATAGGGGAAGGTTCCTATTGTTTAATTTGACCTTTCTTCCATCTCTTTTATTAAATAAACCCCGGAAGGTTGGCGAGACGTGTACATTGTTGCCGAGTACGGGGTCAAAGTTATAACTAGTTTTGTTTGACAGATATAACGCGTCGGTTTCGCATATACGACGACACAGCGTGGGTTTCAGAAACTTTAATTTATTTAGGATCGAGAGGCTTCAAAAAATTAATGGCGAACGTGTTCAGGATGACGATGATATAACGAACTCTAAAATGTCGTTACAATTTATTTAATTGGCCTTAATTAAAAACAGTAAATTGTAATTTGCGATAGTTTTAATAAAGCTCTGTCACTTATAAAGCGCAGCATTTGCTGTTTATTTCTATATGAGTATGAACAGCGTACGTTAATCGGAATTCGGTCCAAAATAATCCCTGCATAATAAATAGAGATTTGCGGGTGTGGTATTGTTTTGATAACCCTATGCTCATCATCGATTTTTCCGTCAATTATATAATTGAACTACATTTCTGCACGCATAATGTAACTAAATGCGTATAAAATATTACCATACGTTGTGGCGTGGCCCGAATTGATAAATAAACCTAGACGAGGACGTGGTTAATTCCACCGAATCAATCTGTGCATACGTTATGTTTGTGTCGGTGTTAAATTCATTTTCTATCCAACATTGTTTGTTTGCTTTTTGTGGGGGTTTAAAAATTCTAATTTACACGTCTCCTTCCAAAAGGGGCGTAAATAATTCAGCATCTATTCCGCGAGCGCTGCTGTCGAGATTATTAGAATATCTGCGCTAGCATAAGGAGTTCATAAAAATGCCACATAAAATTAATTTATGTTACCGTCGACTTAGAGGGTCGTGTCGCGTATAAATTTTAACCCCGCGATATAATATACGTCTGCCATGACCTCGTATCGCATAGTTTCCTAAAATATTAGTCGAGTTGATGTAAAGGTGTTGAAGTAAATATCTTATTTCTAGTAAAAAAAAACTTTATTTATGTAAATATCTCCTCATGATTTTCAACACCTAATATTTCTTTACGAGTTGCGTGTGAGTGAGGTGGGATGATAACATTCCAGTGGAATCGTTCCTAAGAGACGTTGGTGGCGTTTTCGTCGTCGTCGTCGTCATTATGTAAATAAATATTAGGGAGTCGCTAGAATCGACCCACGTTTAATACGCCCACGTCCCGCAACGGCCTTTTTTCCGTTTTGACATGTAAATTTGGCGTTGCCCTTATTTTACGCGCAGTCCCGTTATGCATACCAAAAGCGTGGAATTTCGCGATTTCAAATTTCGTCCAGACTCGAATTTGTTTGCCGGTGTAATTAAGGGATTTAGTCAGTTAGTTTGCCCACTTCTCAACGCTGACCACACTTTTGGTGGAGGCGCCGGGAAAGTTAGATGCCGGCGGAGTCGGTCGACATGACAATTAGATGTTCGTTTAAGATACGACCCTTTGGCATCCAACAAACAGATTTCGACCCTTTGATCTTCAACGTCGCTCTGAATAATTGACCCGCTCGCGGTTTCCTCACAATGCCCGAACCCCCGTATTTACTAAATTCGCTTTGCGTGAATACGTCAAGTATTTGTTTGAACAAAAGGGGTCAAGCCGCAATTATACTCCGTGTACAAATAACTGTTAGAGATAACGCGTGAATTAGATTAATTTTAGTTAATGCGATGTTTAATTTAAACACGCGCATAGGTGTTTATTTAATATTGTATTTACACACGACTTTCCACTAATATAGAAGCTACAACACTAAGTTTAACACAGAATTTAAACTCAAAGGGAGTCTGCCATTTTTGTATTTTGTAATGTGCAGGTCGAACTTCGTTATACGTACACGTCGAGTGTACAAGGATATTCCAGGCTCAAACAAACTCAAAGGGACTTTTATTTTATCGTTTTCGTTGCGCACTATACCCGGTAGTCACTTGGTCAGTCAATGCAATGTACAGGATAAAATGAGAGAATTGTTAAAAAGAATTCAATTCAAAGGCAACATTTTTCGAATTTAATACAATAAAATTTTATCAATAAAAATAAAAATATATAAAAAATCAAGGTCGAATTTTTATAAAATATCCAAGAAAAATTGTATCATCCAGATTTATATAAATTAATTAATTGGAAGCAGGATTAGATTTGCTGTAAAACACTTTTTATTTCATGAGATTTGTTAGTTAGTCTCTGTTCAAAAGTTGAAAGACCAGAGTGGGAATGATAATAAGAATTCCGAAGGTTGGAATGATAAGAAGCAGGCTCTGTAGAGAAAAGGGAGCGTTGAAGCAAGAAAGAGACTTGACTGAGACTGGCAATAACAGAAAGAAGTTAAATATGGACTGGAAAGAGACAAAGAATTGAAGAAAGAGACTCAGCAGAAGTTGGCAACATGAATATAGACAGCTTATAAACAGGAAAACAGACTGTTCAGAGTGGAGAAACATTGGAAAGAAAGTGGAAATGCAAAAAAAGGCCTTGTGAGAGAAGGAAATATAGAAAAAAGAATGGAAATAAAAGAAACAGAGACTGGAATGACTTTGTAGAGAAAAGAGAAACTATTGAAGCAAGAAAAGAACGTGACATAATTGATGGACGCTTGATAAAGAGTGGTAATAGAAGAAAAAGATTCAACTTGTAGAACAGGGAGCAAATAAAACAAAGAGACTGAATAGAAAGAAGGAAAAAGAGAATGAACACAGATTAAAAGCGCAAAAAGAATTTAGATAGTTGTGAATCCACGTTCATCGTAGACATAGAATTAAAAAATACAAAAGGTGCTACGATGATAAATAGTTTATTTAAAAAACTTAGCTAATCGGTGCAACAGCTGTTTGGGTTTTCACAAAATCTTCATCAAGCACACGTTTTGGTAACTAGCTTTAAAACTAGTTACCTTCAGCGAAGAATCAAACAAGAAGGAGAATACAGAAAAAGAAGGCTGACCACATAGAAGTGAGAAACTAAACCAGCAAGAAAGATAATAGACAGCGAAGAGGAAGACTGGAATGAGACTGATAATATCAGGAAGGATATTGATAATGTAGTGGAAGGTTGCAAAAAAGAACTTGTAATAGAAGATAGTAATCGAACAGCAATTGGGAAAGAATAAAAAAGTACCAAAGCAAAGAAGAGGAAGTCTGGAAATAGACTGGAAGACTCAGTAATTTCGGAATAGATTGAAAAGGTAAAGAAAATTTTAGACAGAGAAGACGAAAATCAGAGATTTGTAATAGAAAACGGGGTTAAACAGAAACTGAAAAGACAAGATTGAAATGTAGCAGAGAGGATAAGAAAGGGACATGACAGGAAGAGACCTGTAGAAAAAGGGTAACTGGGCAAAGACGATGGTAAAGGCTATAAAAAGCCTTAAGCCTAAGAAGCTAATACTAGCTACTAAAAGCCGAAGAAGGATAATGCATAGTAACTGGATTGGCAAGAAGGGAATTTGGCAAAACGATGTGCCAAATGCGCGAAATAAATATGAAAAAAGTATTCATGTTATTTGCACTTTACTAATTTAACCCAAAAATTAATACAGATCAACGATTTTTTAATACAATGCAAAATTTCGTCATTGCGCCTCATGGTATGTTTGAGTTATCGTATTTACATGAACACACAAACTGCTAAATATAATCGAAATGCATTTTC